CAGAAACGATACACATTTGACGTGAAGTATAATATGTACGCGTGATCGATCGCGTCCCTTTTTCGAATTTCAATCATTTTTATTTTCAAAAACTTTATATTTGAATAACTGAAAATAACCGAAGAAAACTAAAATAAAATTGAAAAAGCGGCAGATCTTATTCACCTGGGTACACTTGACGTTGAATTAAAATCCGATTTCATAATTATTACGTAATTATTCTTATTCATTTAATGATACACGGAATAATTTATTTTGACAAGATGTTATTTTTTCTCCGTGTAACTATATAAAACTGAAAATTAATAAAAAAAAAAAAAAAATCCTCTTGTTATACAGATTTGTGATTTACGGAGGAATTTAATTTACCAGAAAAATGTTATTCGAATGAAATAGTATCACACATTTTAGTAAAATTAATGTATTATAGATTCCTCCAAGGGCGTCATTTAAATTTCTCATATGGGGGTGCAAACACGTATGGGGTTAAGTCCCTTTCCACTAGGCGCCAGCCCGATTATTGTTAAAAAATACTGGCCGAAATGTACTACGGCTGCAAAAAAGGGCAATAAAATAAAAACTAAATACTTAATCTTCAATATGTGTAATAGTATTAGCCAACCAAGTATGTATAGTATCTGCCAACCCCCCCCCCTCCCGAATAGTGTCTTTGGTTTTCTCGATTCGTCCACAATTTGAATGTTAAGCACGTACCAAACATTATTCTTGTTCAAGAACGTAATATTAAGTATTATATTATATTATGACGTGATGCTATCAATTTATCGGAGGAATACCTGGAGGCATTTCATATTCTTGGTCCGTTTTCAATAATAATATAACCTATAGGAGTCTAAACGGTATACTTACTACTCCCAGCGAAATCATAATAATATATTATAATACCCTCAAAAGTTATGGCGGTCACATGGGGTAGGTGTATTTTTAATCCAAACGATTGTACTATAATTTCCATATACGACGAGTAAACGGCACTTAATCGAAAATAATGTAAACCACCCTGGTTTGACGTTCTATGTATCAATCGAATACAAACCAAACTCTTAAGTGTATAAGTATAGGGTAAGTACCTACCTTGGTTTTCAAACCGCAAAGAAAAAACACCCCAAAGATAATACTATATATTATTTCAGTATCTATACAGGTATCGTCTTATCCATTAGACTATCCATTTAAATCCTACTGGATTTGTATAGGTATTCCTATACAAGCTGTCCCACGAAGATGTACCCCTTGAATATCTCCGGAGATAATAAAGATAATCATATTATTTTCATATTACTCACAGGGAAGAGGACTACACATATTTATATTTAATGTATCACACATTTATATCCGATGAATAGTTTTTAAGTAACAGCCATTTTAAATTCTACTAATCCGTGTGAAAATCGATACTATCTAGGGAATAACCTAACCGTGTTACGCGATGATATCGGTTTTCACAACTAAACGTACCCCGAATTCCTATTTTAATTTTTTGAATTTAGTTTTTATTTAATTTCGATAACGGCGATCACCGGCTCCGTAATGGCTCACGGAGAAATTTACCGGCGTCCCTGTGGCTCAGTTTACCTGGACTTAATAATAATTCACCTGCCGTGACGGAAAAGTTCGTTCAAAGAGATTAGATAAGAAGTCGAAAAAATCATGATACGACCTATTCCGTTGTGGCTGACTAATGGTTTCCGTCAAAATTGTGTTGCTTTTTATCAACGCTATACAGTTAGGTTATATTTTCGTTTACAGTCATTGTGGTTTTCGTTTTCGTTAATTATTTAGTTTTTATAGAAACTCGCCATGTGTACATAACTTTTAACGGAGACTTTTGATGATGTACGAGGATAAATAACGAATGATGAGATAATTTATTTATTTCCTAAGATGTATTCTTAAGAAGTATTCTTAAAGGCGATTGAAACTCAGTAATAAAATAAGTTTACACGAATCTTTGTTCATATTACAAAAAAAAAAATACAATTGACCCTTGCGAAAAATTCACATTCAAAAGTCAATTTTCGAATTAAATCTAACGCAACAATTAATAGATTTTATCTACAGTTTTAAATTAAAAATTCGTCAAAAGTAAAGGACTTAATCGTTTAAATAGAGCACTTTATTTATTGATTTTGGTTAAGTACGAAGAGAGAAAACCGTATCATGACAAAAACTTATATTTTAGAATAATTAACATACGAAATAAATTTGAAAATTGTTGTAATATATAGGATGTCGTTAAACGATGATACAATCACAATTTGATTATGATAAAGTTAAAATACATGATTATATGGCCTGTCGGTATATGGGTAGTGAGGGTGTAGCTATTTTTGTCGGGGATGCAAATTAATGGCTACGCTGCCCCATGAGCGATTTGTAAAGAAGTTGCTTTTTGCATAATTCGATCACATTATATAATATTGTAATAATTATATTATCCGCTTTATAATATTGATTATATGAAAGTACAAAAACAACATTAAAAAAACACTCAACTGATAATTTAATATATTTCTATCCGAGTCCGGTAAACAATTGACTAGAACTTATATCGATTCACCGACTCAGTTTATTGAACCACAATTGAATAATTTGAACGCATTATTCAATACGCTTGCAACCCCGTGATTTTATTTCAAATGACTCTTATGCGGCTGTGGGTGTGTATTATCTTAAATCGTAGTATTAACCAACACGTCCAAACGAAATAACACTAAAGTGTTCCCAATCTCGCATCGATCTGCTGAGTAGGTAATCCGCAGCATTGACAGGTGGATTTGAGAACGCACGTATAGCGTATAGCTCAAAACAGTCGTCCGAGGAGTTTACGATACGTCAGCGTCCGGAAAACCATAACCGTGGTAGGCAATCCAACGGCGTGGCCGTTTTCATTTTTGTCCGGTACTAGAGTGCGCGTAGGTACAGTTCGTTTAAAATTAATTATTATTTACGAAGCGCGCGTGCGAATTTCGAGGACAGTTAATAATAATATATTCGGTGAACCGCGTAATATTGCGGTTTTATTGTAAACAACATGATAATATTATTAGTTATTAGTGATATTACTTAAAACAGACAAGTGTCGGTCGTAAAATACAATTCGTCTGCGAACACGAAAAAGGTCGTACTATGTACTTTGTCCAGCTTCTAATCTAATCTCTTAGCACGATCGAGGCGTCGATATACATTTATCATAGTAACCACGTCCGAGGTTCACAAATTCGTGACACTGACGTGAAATTCTGTTGATAGGTATAAACAGTGACAGCGTACGTGCAGACTATACACATACGAGCCAACTCATCCGATCTGTGCAACTTCCACGAGCGTGTATCAACGTTTTCAGGGAAGTCGCTGATATTATAATATTGATAACCGAGGCATTGAACTTGACGATGAAATCGATGGATTTTTGTAAGTTCGGTAAATGTAAATTTTTACTAACGTATTAATGTGAACACCGTCTTATGTGCGCGAGAGGAACGAACACGTGCACCGCGAACGTGGTTACTATTCTTCACGAAGGAGAAGTGTGAGGATAGACGAGGCAAAAAGAGCTTCTTTTACACTATCCGAATTGCTCAAATCTAAAGTTTTCTACAAGAAAACAAAATCAATACTGTAAACGGTCATACTAATAGACCTACTCTCACACGTGGATGTGAAGTATGGACAAATGTGACAGCTGGAAGACTTAAGACATTCGAAAACAAGACGCACGGAGAACGATGCGATACGATATGACACAAAGACAAATTAATGTAGAAGGCGACGAAGAACTCCGAGAAGACCCGGGCTAGCTCCGGTCGCCGGCTACATAAACAAGCGCTGTAGAAACAGTCCTCTACAGTGATCGTAATATCGTTACGCACGCGTGAACGTATATTGCACACATCATATTGTTCGCGTGGAAGGCGAACAAAAAAAAAAACGAAAAGGAAAGCGGTTTTGTGCGCTCATACGGACCGCGCGCCGTCGACAGTGGCAACGGACGCTGCTGAAGCAGTAGCGGATGATCGCTATTAATAATAATATAATAATAAGAGACCGGTGGTGTTGGGCCCGTGAATCGGTAATTAAAAGATTCTTTCGAGTCTGCGGCCAGCAGCAGCGGCAGCGGTGTACCTGTGTACCATATAGCGTGTAGTGCGTACGCGCTACGCGAGCAACAAGTGTAAAAAAAAAAAAAAATAATAATAAAATAAAAAAAACAATTATCGCGAGCATATAATATCGGTGAAGCGTATGTGAGAAGAAAAAATGGCCGTCGCCACCACCGCCTGCGCCGCCACTGTACGACAATAATAATAATAATAATAACGATAACGACGATAACGATAAGACCGTAAAAACGGCGTGCGCGCGATACGGCACCGCGAGAATGCCCTTAACCTTGGCGCGCGCGTAACAACACACAATACGATACGACGAAAATAATAATAACCGCCGCCGCCGCCGCCGCCGTAAATCGTAACGATATTCTGCCGCGCGCGCCGACGACCGAGTACGATACGACACGGCCCGAAGACGCCCCCGCCCGCCCCCCGCCAACCGCGAGTTGGGTGTATCTGCGGGCCGGGCCGGCGCTCGACCCGCCGCCGCCGACGATTCTGCCGAGTGCTCCGGACCGCCGCCGCCGCCGCAGCTGAGTGCCCGTTGCTCTGTCATACCGATACCGCGGTATCTCCGACTCTGTCCGACCATAACCGCGCGCGCCGTCCGATTCGCGTCCGCACCCGGCGACCGTATACATTTCGTAATAATATTATCCGCTGTTGCCGTCACTATCCGCCGTCCGCGCGCGCCAATTTCGAACCGCGTCCCATACATTGTCCACTAGCCGTTTAACCGCCGTACATTCCGTACGTACGAAAACCGTTCGTGTTTTGACAATCGTGTCCGTCGCCCATCGTTCCCGGTTCGCGTCCCGCGCCATGCGTTAAACGCCGTCCGCGACGCGTCCCCGTACACCCCGATTAATGTATCCGTGGTATCCGCCCAGGGATACGGCCGAAGTGCAGCAGCCGCAGGTGTGCGCCAACGGCCCGCAATCGTCGGGCAGCCCGTCGTCCGCGACATCGCCGGCCATCAAGAGCGAGAACGGTTCGGCGTACGGCGACTGTATGGATTACGCGTTGCACGCAAAGGTAAGCGAGACATTTTTCTCCCGTCGCCGCGCGAGACGTTTCCGACATTCCGGGCCGCACAACGGCCGAGAGGCTTCGGGGTTCCGCCACAATATATTATAAGACGCGGGGTGTTTTTTTTTTCTCCGTCTCGCGGTAAACGACTTTTGCGCGGTCGCGTAGTATAAAAACGCTCGATTTTCGGCGGACGGTACTTGTTTATTCTAAAACAATATTAGAAAAAAAAAAAAAAAAATCTGATAGCGAAATCAGACGATACGCCGGTTCTAGGAAAAAATCGCGTTGTACCGGTAAGGTTAGGCGGGTATATAGTGGCGATATTATTTATTACCTTAAGTGCAGTTTACGCGCAAGCTCCACCCAGAATCGTTTTTCGATTGCGATATGATCCGTCCATAACAGTTACTCCGTGTTCCGGACTACTTTCCCGACTTTCCGCCACCGACAGTGTGGCTCATCCACGGTGCGACGTACGTCCGACTTATTATTATATGAAAATAATCCGTAAAAGTCTCCGGTATTGTAATACTATTACGCGTTCTGTATACAGATTAGATTCTGTCGAATATCCCGATCGAGATTTTTCCCGTTTCTTTCCGTCCTCAAAATACAACAAATTATACAGGCGCAATGATACGCGGCATTGTACATCTGGCTAAATGGAAAATAAAAATTGAAAATTGTCCATAAGTTCCGCCGCGACACTGGAAACCGCGTAAAAACGGTAATCGGGTAATATTGTACGACGTACTTTATAATATTACGTTCGCCGTAATAAAACTAATACGAAATCATTTGTGTAAAACAGCAAACAAAATTCATCGACATTATCGACCTACATCGGATAATGCCTAAAAAACCCACAAACAGCCGTCTTAAACTGACGGGTGCTTTTTACTCTTTCCTCTTTAACACATTCCTAGCTATTTAATAATACATCGGGTTGATTTCACGTTTAAAAATATTTCGTAACATTCCGTAAGGATTCGTCGTACGTAATGTAGTTTAGTGACGGTAAACGGATTCTGGCGATAATACTGAATTTATAGGCCTTCTGACAGAGGTGTTACAATAATATTCTATTCGAATCTCCGTTTATCCCAAGACCATCTGTCAAAAAAAATAATGTCGTACAGGACGGTCAATCCTCGATTAATTTTCTCGCGAAGTATTATACGACTTTTCGGACCATTTACGAAACAGCTTTAAAATGTTACATTACATTGTTGGTTTTTAGTCACCCTTATTTTCGAGGGGTGAAACCGCTGCTCACTTTTGATTTTCAAACATCGACGTATATTGAAGTACACTTATGTTTCGTCCGAAATAACAGTATATTATAATGTTATTGTCTACAAACGAATTAAATTAAAAAAGGTATCGTATTTTTTCCGACGCTCTTTGTTCCCAGCGTTTAATAATCCGATTTGTTCTGCATTTTAAAACCAAAATTAAATTGAAACTATAGGTTAGCTACAGGATCCGGGCAGTATTACAGTTCTTGAGTATCTCGTATTGGGATTTTTTTTTAGATTGTAAGGAACTACATCATATGATATGCGTATTTATCAATGAGCTAAAATCGGAACCGGGTAAAAGTTACGCGTTGCAATGTTAAAAAAGATATTTTGAAACGGTCGTATTTTTCAAACTTAACTATATAATATACGAGATGGTGAACACATTTATACTTTTCCTTCATAAAAAACCTACGAAAATCTAATACTTAAATAAGATTCGTCATACCGCGATAAAAGAAAAAAAAATTTAGCGTAATATTACAAATTTTTTTTCTTGAAATTTCAAACTTTCGACAGTATACGGTAATCTGTATTATAGTGCAATTGATAGAATTATTAAAATTAATTTTAACCTACAAGTATTAATGAATCTATAATAGGTATTTTTAAATGGGAACACTTTTTCAAATGTAAGTATCGCGTATCGAGAATATATATATAACAGCTATCGCTGCAACGATTGTACGAGTGTCTACGTAAAAAACTGTTTGATATCTAAAATCCGCCTCTTAAATTTCGTTTTGTCCTGTAAAATGAACATATTTTATTGGTGCGCCTAAAAAGAATTCTGTTGAATGCCGAGTCGGCCGATAAAACGTTTAATTGTTCAATATAATTATTTGGATGAGAATATTCAATTGTTTCCCTATTGTTTCCTAATAACTTTTTATTTGACTCGATAATCGTGTCAAATATAGATTTCGAAATTATCAAAAAAAAGCTAATAATCGTCTCATCTACTACCGGACAGTAATACAATTTTATTTTTAAATACAAATTTTAATTCAACATGATTTTTAACGGTTTTTACGATCGAATGTTATATCATATTTAACGAGAAATAATGGCAGGGATAAAATTCGTATCGATTCGATTTGCGCAAAATATTTACCTATGCATAGTCATTAATTTCCAGAGCGAATATATACTTTTCACTTGTACGGGTAACAAGTTTATTGCGACGGAGATTTAAACGCGTCTTTATAGAGATGCACACCGTAATATATATTTTAGTTTTTCAAAAAATTTAAACTCTACGACTACTACTCATAATGATAAAAGTCTAGTGCACTATTTCAAAATTTCAAAGGTTACGCTGTACATTTTAAATTTAAAATTTAAACAAGTTAGAAAAGTCCATTCTGCGAGCGCGCCGAGTTCCCGGTTTCTAAACGTATTTTTAGCAATAAACTATAAATCCGTATAGCAATAGCGAGTTTAGCTACCTAAATTTAATTAAATATCTTAAATAAGTTGTCGATGGGTAATTATAAAAGTTGATTATATTTCGGTGCATATTTTTACTAGAACGTGTGTTATATTAATTCAAAAATACTCGAAAAGAATTTGAAAATTTGTGTTCGATGTTTGACCCGCTTGAAATTTTGAGTGCGCTCGTATTTCCGACGCAATCGATAATAATATGATGCGTTTCAAAGTTGACGGAAAAATGATTTTCATCCTGTGTGTATATTGCTAGGCGGGATATTTTTTTAAAATATCGAAAAGCGTCTCATAAAACTTTTGTTCGTTGATTCTTCACTGTAAATAATTCGCGGTCAGATTATCGTAAAAAAGGGTTAAAAAATAATTTCCGCCCCATATAATATGACTAAAAACATTTAGTCATAGCAAAAAAAAAATAAAATTATAGACGATGGGACGATTATGTATTTACTCGTATTTAATAATAGAAATAAATACAGTATAATTAAAGATAATTAAATAAATAAATAATAATAATTAAAAATACCATGTTTTTAAAACGAAATAAAAAGTCAATATCTAATAGTGAAAAATATCTGGAAAAATATGAATTAAAATATTTTCTCGCGTACTTGTATATCGTGATAAAACCAAAACTGAATAAAAATATAGTAAATGATAACATACGTACATTTCAACATGGGGTACTTTCAAATATTTCAAAAAGTCACTCTCATACGTTAGTTTGTGGTTAGAGTATCATACTTAATTGTTGTGCTTTCTTATAGATTCTGAGCGTAGTGAGGCATGTCCTCATTGGTTTCACTGTGATGAATACGTGCGAATTTGTTTTTTTTCTGTCTGTTAACGATTTTCTACCAGAAATTATAATCCAATTGAAACACTAACGTAGAAAGCTTTTCTGTAGCGTTTATTGTTATAGTTGATATATTTAGACGATTATTTTTGGACTATCTGAGTAGTTTTTCTAATGATCAGGAAAGGCTGTTAAAATATGCCTAGGAAAAACGAACAAATTTACGACGATAAAACTTTCATTATTTTCTGTGTTTATTTTTTATTGTACACTGATGAAACAAATAAATTCTAACCATTGAACTTGATAGTATTATTATTTTTATACTGTTATCATTTCGAATCTCGATAGATCGAGACTACGGGCTCGCTTCGTCGCGTGGTCGCTCGGGGGTGTTCTCGCGTTCCGATCGTTTGGTCGCAGCGTGGGATGTTATCTGGCGATCCACTTACCTCCGGCAACAGAGATGTTATCACGCGCGTGTCGGTAGACTCCTGACTGCCTCCGGTGCGGACTGATCATCCGCTTCGTCGGTGGCTGGGTGTCGAGATGTGTCCAACTTTCGACATTTATGAAAAGTAGTCCGGGTGGTCCCCGGAGCCCCGGCGTCAACCCATTCTCGGCGCCGAACGGGGACCCAGGTGTCGGCCTCGCCCTGGTGCCGTGGTCGGTGCCTCGCGGTCGGATTCGGACGGGCTTACGAGTATCGTTGTGTAGTGGTTAAATAGCCAGGGGCTACCCACCCGACGGCGACTGAACCCGTGAGCAAGCGGTGGGCGAATTAGGTAGCGGTTACTGGGACATTGTCATGCATCCGGGGCTTGTCCCGAACATTCCGGGTCTCTTGAATAGCTACCCTTAGCTAATATAAGGTACCCGGTTGCAGTGGCGTATCCAGAACTTTTTTTTTGGTGAGTGGAAGGGGTTGAAATGAAATTGTTTTTGAATTTTCTGTGCATTATAATCATGCATTAAACATTTTAAACAGCGCTAATTATATAAAAGTTGAATTATTTATCTTTTTTTGAAAATTATAAATGTGTATTCATTTATCGTTTTGATGTTTTAGCAAGTATAACATCGTTGATATCGTGATATATTTTAGTAAGGCTAAACAATTTAAACGTATTTGCCCCGAAGAATTTCTAAAATATGTTTTCTAACGACAGATTGTTGAAAACGATGGCAGTAGACACTGAAAGTATTATGAATATTTGAAGAAATTTAGATATTACTGGATAAACATCTGGATTAGTTTGGAAGTATACTTTAACAATATTTTTGTACTTGAGTTCGGAAGATGTTAAATTTGAATATTTAGAATATTTAGTGTACCACAAATTTGATTCTCCGTTTAATATTTGATCATTTAAATTTGAATCGTTACATTTATCAATTATATCTTGATATGTTTCTACTAATTGTTTAAATTTACCTTTAATATCTTCAGATGTTTTAATTTTTATCTTAGGTAAAATACAATCAAAATTATTCAAAACAATCCTGTGCGATATAAATCTTTCGTTCAATTGGTCTAAAAAATTATCTATAAAAGGAATAAATGCTTAAAAAAATATTATGGGTCCTTTGATTTAGATTGACGTGGCAAACTAACAGTAATATCAAATTTTTCACAGACAGTTATTACGGATAAAAATAATTTTAAAACTCTACATCACAATTTTCTCTAATATCTTGAATATCAATTTGAACATTAGCAGCTTTTATCACAGTTTTTAAATTAAGATTTACTGTTTGAAGATATCAACTAAGTAGGAAACTTATTGAAAATATTTTAACTGAAAATAAAGCTAAATAAAGCTGTTTGAAATTGTAACTGTTTTATCGCAGTAAGAAGATGACTTGCAGAATTTGTCCAAAGTGTAATTTTATCTAGTGCATGTAAAATGGCTGGTTGAAGTTCTTCAAATAATATAATTGCATCATGGCGATCGACCCATCGAGTTGCACATAGATTTTTTAGTTTAAAACGATTAGTCTGTGGATATACTTCTTCTATTGACAATTGCAAAATATTTTGTCTTTTTGGATAACCGAAAGCGATAACCGATTATCATAGAGTTACCTATTATAATATACACACTACACTGGACTG